AAGTAGGTGCTTTAGACCACTGAGCCATCTCTCCAGCCCTTCACGGACTTCTCGTGCCGGCCAGGTTGAGCCCAAGCGCCACTGGCCTCTTCTTTGGTCCTTGCCAGACTTAGCTGGTTTTCTGGGGTTTATTATTAGTTATAAATATTACTGAAGCCAACTCAAAACCTAACTCATGCTCCCAGGACATTGACTGATAGTAAGCAAACATCTTTCTATGAAACTCGCTCTTTAAATGTCACAGGAAGATTCTGAGATGCAAAAGCATTCGAGTTAAATTCTAACAGATTATAGAGAATTAACCAGTTGTCTTAGCTGCCTTCCTCAGCCTTGTGTCCCCATCCTGCTGGGACACAATACCAAACACCCCAAATTTAAGGAAGAAGAGGTTTATCTTGGCTTTCATTTCAGTCCATAGCAGGCCACTGCAAGGTAAGACAGCTCGGCAGAGGGGCCGGGCGGAGGAGAGCTGCTCAGGGTGTGGCGGATAGGAAGCAGGGAGCAGGAAGGAGCTGGGGAGGGGCAAGCCCTTTCGGCCGCAATGACAGTGACGTTCCACCTCCCACCAGACCTCATGCCCTCACGGCAAGTCCACCCCCCTTCCAAGCCCATGAGGATCTGGGACCATTGTGATCCAAACTGTAAAGCCAGACAAAGAAAGGGCGCAGGCAGAGTCTGGAAAGGGAACTGCGAGAGCCAAGGCACGGGGCCCGCAGTGCGGTGGCCCAAGTGAGCAGACACCGCAGGCTGGCTCCAGGCCTTCCTCAGTCTCCTCAGCTGGGAGGCTCTGGCCGAACATCTACTGTATATTTCAAATGCTACGCATAACTTAACTCTCACTATGAGGGAGGGGGACAACCCACTGGGGGCCCCTTCCGTCCCTCTCTGGGACAGGAGCTTTCTTTCCCCAATAAATATATTCTACTCAGAAAAAAAACAAAACTACGAGTGGTGTTGAGGCACAGGGACTTGCACCATATACTGTTGCCGACCACAGCTAGCCTGGGTCTTGCTTAGCAGAGATGAAATTCAAGCAAAACACTAATATATAGAAAAGCTTGAGTAGCTGGAAGGGTGCCTTGACTCAGGGCGAGGGCGCTGGCAGCCATGCAAGGCTCTGCGGGGCTCCGAGGTGACCAGAGGCCCAGGGCGGGCAGACGCTGGACACTGCTCAGCTTCCCTGTGAATCTCTTACCCTGGTGTCGCCAGTCTTGATGGGTGATGACTCAGGCTCGGTAGAGTTAGGGCCGCCAGAAGGACGCCCTGACACCGGCCACGCCTGCACGCGGCACTCACAAGGCCTTTACCCTGGTTCGCTGTGAAAAATCAAGCTTTGTTTTATGTTTAGCTGCTGGGCATTTGTAGACCCAAGTGAAAACATCCATTTTTAGGTCACTGACTGTGACCTACCTCTTTCTTTCTTTCTTTCTTTTTTTTTTTTTTTGAGACTGCTATGCAGTTCAGGCTGGCTTGAGCTCACTTTGTAGTTGTGCAAGCTGAGCTATCATGGATGTCCACAGTTAGGAAGGACAGAAGTAGGAGTCAGACTCAGGCATTCTGTTCACAGTTCACCTTTCACGTCAGAAAGCTCTGCTTGCTAGGGCTCTGCTGCACGCTGAGACTGACTTTAAAATTGGTGCAGGACAGGTAGGAGACGCTTGCTGGGAGAGCACCTGCCACAGCGTGAGCCCTGGGCTCCAATCCCATTGTCCCCGCCAGCTTTCCCTGTTGCTGGGGATGATATCCTACTACCTGACACCCACAGTTTGCAGGAAGAAAGGTTTCAACTCGCTCACATTTTCAGGACTCCATTGGCTCAGGCAGAAACATCATGGGGACAGGGGAGGCCAGGAGGGGTGAAGCTGCCCATTCATAGCAGCCAGAAGCTGAGCAGGGACAGGGACAGCACTCCAGAGGAAGGGGCGAGGGACCAGACCTAGTTCCCAAGGCCACATCTCCACAGCCCACCTAGATGTACTCAGGAAAATGCTCTACTCATCTGCTAGATGTTCCTTAATCCCATGGAGTTGGCAAGCAGGATGAATAGTCATACTCTGGGAGAGAGAGAGGAAGAGTGAGGGGGGAGGGAGAGGGAAAGGGGGAAAGGAAAGAGGAGGAAAGGGAGGTAGAGGGCAGAGGAAGGGGGAGGGCAAGGGGAGGGGAAGGCAAGGGGGAAGGGGACAGCATAGGACCCACAGGCGAGCAGACTGTGGTACAGCATGGGCTCAGGGCAGTAGTTAAGTTCAGAAGACCTCAAAGCTACTTCTTCCCACTGCGCCACATGCTGGTTTTCCAACAAACAGCCAGCCAGTCAGCGTATCAGCAAATGCACTCAGAAAACTGAGATTGTAGAACAAAACACAGGGGCAGAAGATGCAGCCGAAACTTTGTGATTGCCCAAGTTTGTTTGCAGGGCTTTTTAAAGTAGTGTCTTACCGAACTAAAAAAAAATCTACTTTCTTCTTTCTTTTTTGTTTTTCTTAATTTTATTTATTTATGAAGGACACAGGGTCTCACTCTGCAGCTCAGGCTGGTCTTGAGCTCACTTTGTAACCCAGGCTGGTCTCAAACTCTCACAGTGGTCCTCCCACCTCAGCCTCTCGAGAGCTGGGATTCGAGACAGGCGCCACCACACCCGGCTGTTTCTCATTGTCCTAAAAGTGAGCCTTCCTTGCAGGTTTCGCCTGATTGGGCCAGAGTCCAACCGCAGCGACATTAAGGTAGGAAGGAGCTCCCGGTTCCTTGGGGCGGGAAGGGTGCAGTTCTGCCCCACAGTTCTGGGTACACTGTTCTCTGCGTCTCTGAGCCCTTGATTCACCCATCACTATAGGTATTATTTTTTTGCAGAACCAGGGATTGAACTCAGGCCCCTGCGCTTGCCAGGCGAGCACTTATTCTGCTGAGCCACCTCCCCGGCCCCCACTATAGGTTTTATTTTATTTATTTATTTGTTAAATTTGTGTGTGTGTGTGTGTGTGTGTGGCCAGCTCAGCCCACCAGGGGGCGCGACTGGCTGGCATGTGGTGCTGGGGGATCGAACCGCGGTCCCTGTGCCTTGCTAAGCTTGTTCTAAGTAGGTGCTTTAGACCGCTGAGCCATCTCACCCCCCCCACTATAGGGTTTTTTTTTTTTTTACCTTTTTTTAGTTTGTGTGTGTGTGTGTGTGTGTGTGTGTGTGTGTGGCCAGCTCAGCCCACCAGGGGGCGCGACTGGCTGGCATGTGGTGCTGGGGGATCGAACCGCGGTCCCTGTGCTTTTCCAAGCTTGTTGCAAATAGGTGCTTTAGACCACTGAGCCATCTCTCCAGCCCCAACTATAGGTTTTTAAATGAAACAATCTTTTCTGCTCATCTATCAACTCTATTAACTCTCCAGTGTACTTTCATAAGGGACTTGAAGGCCTGTTAAGACGCTGTGCGATGCTAGGAAAAGAGGTGTTCCCAAGTCGGCTTCATTCACTGTGTAAGATCATCCTGAAGGGTAACGTTAGGGTCCGGGACCCCCAGTGAAGAGCCTGGACATAAACCAGCAGGCCGTGATCAGCTCTGTGCTTCCAACGCGGGCTGTCCCTCTCCTGGGGTTAGGTCGAGGCTGGCCGTGTGGACACCTCTGTGGCGGGGGAGGCCCCGCCTGCTGACCTCTTGTCTGAGAGCAGACACCCCGTCAAGCACCTCAGCTCTCAAGCCCTAGCTGCAAGAAGAGCGGCTGCACCACTGGCAGGCTCTTCTAGCACGGAGAAGTTTCGTGTAGGACTCTGATGTCCTATGCAGCAGGGCCGCGGTCACGCTCGGCCCAGCAAATGCTGATTCTTAGTGCCATCCATTCACTGTCCAAGACTTACCCAGCCTGGTGCTGCTCGGCACCTGTGCTACCTGCCACTTACGTTCCAGGGCAGTGGCTCTCAGCTAGGCCGGGGAGCCCAATGTCTGGCACTGCGTGGAGACGTTCTTAATCGTCATGGCCTGGAGTGGGAGGAGGGTGCCCCGAGGCCAAGCATGCTGCACAAGACAGCCCCCCAGGATGGAAAATGATCCATGCCCAGATGTCGCCTGGGCCACTGGGCAACCTGTTCTAGGACGTATGTGAGTGTGCCCGGATTGGGGGCAAACAGCAAGCAAACATATACGTGGAGCGTGTGCTGAAGGATTCCATGCAGGAAAATAGACCAGCAGAGGCAGCGCAACAGGTCCAGAGCTGGGGACTCCCACCTCAGGACTGTTACTTGGCTATGGGGTCGCTTGCCCCATTGGCTGCCTGGCGCTGTGATTGTGTGTGGTTTTTGTTTTGGGGGTTTTTTTGGTGTGTGTGTGTGTGTGATTGCGTTTATAATGACTGTTTCCATTATTGTTACCTCTCTAGCAAGGGACGGTATCTCACAGTAATACATAAACTTCATACATAAACTCTGAGGCCAGACAGAAGTCCCTTTTACTGACTGTGTGACCTCCTGCAAGTCACTCAGCCTTCTCTGAGGTAGTGCATGGGAGATGGAAGGTACAAAGACAGGGAGAAGATAGCAGCACGTGGAGCGAAAGCAGCCCAGAAGGCAAGAGAACTTGTCCAGAAAGCCACACCAGGCATCTGCCTGCTCCCTAGATCTGAGCGGGGCACCCTCATGTTCACTTCGGGGTGACTGGCCGCCAACAGCAGTAGAACCCACATCTGGGAAATAAGTCACACGTCCCGGTCAGACACTGGACCTAGTACCCCACCCTTGTCGCGGGCACTGTTGGTGGGCAGCCCAGGAAGAGCAACTCGGTGGGCAACACAGTCAAGAAGGCGTGGCTGACTTCCTCACTGATCCTACTGCCCGAGAGACGAGGCTAGCGTCCGTAGCGTAACGTCAGTAAGCCTCAGGAAAGGGCTTAGCATCAACGCAGAATGTGCTGGGCCGGCATGGAGGGGAGGGCAACGGCTTCTGCCGTGATACTCATTTCTTTAATCCTGGTCACACCCTCTGCCACCAGGGCGATGAAGATTACAAAGTATCTTCCTATTGCTTTTTTTACTTTATAGTTGATGAATTGGGGGCCCAGAGAGACTGAGTAACTTTCCAAACATCACATAGAAAGCGGAAAAAAAAAAAAAAAAACAAGAAGCAAACCTGGGAATTTTAGCTGAAGTTGCACTTGCTCAGCTGCAGAGGTTCTTGGGGCTGAACACCTCCCTGGCTGCGCTGATGTTCTCCCTCGTCCGTTTATCTTGAGTTCCTGGATCTTCCAGGAGCCAGCACCTCGCCTAGCTCTCCAGCTCCCGCAGCCCCTTGGGGAGAAACTGAGTGTCCCGGCACACGGGCAACTTCGGAGCCTACCATAGGACCAAGACTCCCCTGTGCATGAGGCTCCCAGTGGACAAAACAGGGCTGCTAGCTGACTTGCGGGTGCCTAAGCTACATTCCCGGCCACCCGGGTCCCTGTGCACCGCCATCACCAGGACCCAGCAGAGGGGAGCAGAGTGTCTACCCTAAGGGAGACACCACCAGGAAACCCCGTAGTGCGGTTTCCCACAAAGCTGGTGCATCCCTTGGGAAGGCTCCGGCTGCTGCTCCCTGGGTGAGGTCGGGAAAGGACATGCCAAGCCATGCACGGTACCAGCAAAGTGTGTTGATTGGGCAGCTGAAGTAGCTTTCTCCTTCATTGCAGGTCTTGAGGTTCGAGAATATCCTGTCCTCCATTCTACACTTTGGAGTCCTCCCGCTGGCCAACAGTAAGGGCCTTTTGGGGGATGATGTCACTGATGTTGGTTAAATGGTAGGGATTGTCTGGGACTGTCCACTCCAAAGCCTGCCCTTCCAGAGTGTTATTAGGAATCCAGGCCAGAGCCAGAATTTACACTAAATACTGTCATCGGTAGGGTTGTAAACTCGATTACTCCAGGCCTAAGTCTTGTTAGCAACTGTACTTATCAAAACCAGCATCAAGCCAGGGATATAGCTCAGTAGCATAGGTGCCTGCCTGGCAAATGCAAGGTTCAGAGTTCAATCCCTGGTACTGGAAAAAAACAAACAAAAAAACCAGCATCAACTCTGGGTGAATTAAATAGCACAGAACAGTAAAGCATCCTTCAGGCCAGCAGGAAATGAGGTGATTCTGCCCGGGAAGGCTCTGTGGTTCCTGCACAGGCACCAAACTGCTTTCGGGATGGCAATTCTGCAGTCACTCACGAACCGCGGCATCTGGGGTCTGGCTCAGTCAACAAAAAAGAACAAACTATTTCAGGGTCGCGATTCAAGCCCAGAGAGGCTGCTCCACTAAGCTACATGCACAGCCCTCTTAGTTTTCGAGGCAGGGTCTTGTCGTTGCCCTGGCAGGACTGAACTTGCAATTCTCCTGCCTCGGTCTCCTTTAATGTTGGGATCAGAACTGCGCACCACTGCACCCGGCTAACTAGACTCTGAAATGCTCCCGGGACACACTAGTTAGGTCTTTCCAAAATACAGACTGGGGAAGTAGAAAGAGAGTATCATTTTTTTGGGAGCATAAATGCACATAATTGCAGGTGGATTTCTGCTGAACACAGGTGGACTCACAGTTCTTCCAGAAAAATACTAGGGAGCCATCAGGCAGAATAAAATCAGAATGAGGGAGAAGATACAAGATAAACTGTTAAAAAGTTGCCTGCTTATCTCTTAGCAAAGAGGTTGCCAGCAGTGCCCAGTCATTTTACTTTTTCTGAATTTTAGCAAAATTGCAACAAGGATTTCCCCTGCCCAGGCCGTACAATGTCTCATTGGCCAACTCAGACATTGAAGTGCTTGAGGTAAGATTCTGACTCTCTTAGCTGACCCAATTCTTCTCATAGTAGATTAAGCCTCCTCCTGTTTTGCTTATTGCTGTTTTCTTTTGTTCTGCTTCATCTTTTTCCAGCTTGAGGAACTTTGTAAACAAAATGTTTAGCTCTTAAAGCTTGCAATTAACAAGGAAAGTTTAGAAACTGGGCCAAGTCCAACTTTACTTAGCCAAGTTTATTCACTCTGCAGTACAAGAAGATATGCTTTCACACACTTTATTTACTCCACAAAAGAAGCTGTAAGGCTGGGATTATTAATCCCATTTTCTAGATGAGAACAGTAAGAGGCAGAGACACACAGGGGCCCAGGAAGTTTCCAAACAGACAGATGGGCTCTTCCGGCTCACTCAGCCCAGCCTTCGGGCTCAGGAATCTATTGAGAGCTGTTTCCTAGATAATCCTTATTAACCAACTTCCAATACCTTTCCATTTGTCTTTCTTTTTGGGACTCTTTTTGGTTTCTGGAGGTAAAAATAAGTTTCTCGGGGAATCTCTGGTCTCACAAGCTACACCGCACCCCACACACATCTTCCAACCGCCCATCCCTCTGCTCAAGTCACACTGGTGACACCAGCCGTACCTCTGATGCCCTCAGCATGGGCAAAGGCTGGGGGAGACCTGACACCTTGTGGCTGGCTGAAGAAACCATCCCTCCTTTACCCCTTAGGACTTGCTCAAGTTGGGTACTCACCACTGCGTCTTTTTTCAGGGTTTCATTTTGATTTCCACTGACCTGAAGTATGAAACGTCCCCGAAACAGCAGCCAGGTTTCCACGGCTGGGGAGAGCTGAACCAGATAGGGAGAGACGGCACGGGGCAGCCAGCCATGTGATGCCCATTCATGCCCACCCGGGGAAGTAACCGGCCCCAACCCATGGTGCCCGTCCACTGGGAGAGAAGACCGTGCACCGTGGAACCTGAGAGGCCTTCCAATAGCGTAGGCAAAGATCTGCTCTCAGGAGCCCTGCGGAACCTAGAGCAGGCCGCCTGGGTTAAAGGGCTGAGCAGGGGTGTGCACTGTGTACAGAGGATCCGAGGGCAGTGTGGGCGCGCAGACGCTGTGTGCCTGCCATTGTAAGACTCTGGGGACAAGAGGTAGGCATGCATTTCTGACCAGGTGGGTGGAAACTCCTAAGTCTGTATTTATGTCAGTTCTCTTAAGAGTTTTTCTCTATCTACCTGGATACTGGATTTTACATTTTATATTCACTGTTACTGCCCCCTGTGTCTGATTAAAATCATTTTCTACCAATGTCAGCCTGCTTTTGAGAAATTTTTTAGTAAGAGAAAAGGTATGTAATGCTGACAAAAACTGAGGCTGAAAAAGAAAAACAAAACAAACCAACCAGAGGTTACATAGAGATCAATATGTGATTTTAAAGAGGAATTGCTGACCTCTCAAATTTTCCCTGGGGTCACCTTGTATCATTTGCTCAAACTTTAGGGTGATGCCCCTCCGGTCCCCAAGGATTCCGTGGCAGTTCAGAGTTGATGCTGACATTAATGCTGTTAGAACACCAAGCCGGGGGGGAAACTGAGGCGGAGGGGAGGGAGGAGCGCGCTGTGGATAGCGAAGAGGCACCGAAGGCCGAGCGCCTCGCGCAGCTGCCCGCAGAGCACGGCGGCGCCAGCCCGCTCACGTCCACGCCGCTCTAGCGAGCCTTGCTGTCCTTGCAACAGACGAAGAGCACAGGCAGAGGTCGAACCCGTGTCCTCGGGTCCTGAGGCTGCCGACCTTCACGCGGAGCACGAGCCAGGCCTCGCGCTGCGCAGGGCGCCGCCGATCCCCTCGTCACCACTTTTTAAAAATGTATTTGGCTGTTACAGGGTCTCACTTCACAGCTCGGACTCACAGTGATCCTGCCGCACGCAGCACTACGCGCGGACTCTGGCTGGCGCGGCCCGCCCGGGGCGAGGAGCCGGGCATCGAACCCGGTCCTTCGTCCGCTCTCTCGCCGGCCCCTTCGCGTTCTAAAACACGTTGATGAGCCAGTGTTGGCCGCGCACAGAGATGCCCTTCGCGGCCGCGTCGGACCTTAGCGGGAGCCCGGCAGGGTCGGTGGGAACAAACGCTGCAATTCCTAGCGCGGCTGCGCAGGCGCGGATTCATTCCGCAAGCGTGCAAGAGAGCCTGCCCCGGAGTCGAGGTGTGTCGAGGTGTCCTCGTGAGCGGTTCGATGCACTTTCTTTCTTTCTTTCTTTAATTTATTTATTTATCCATCTATCCATTTATGTGTGTGTGGCCAGCTCAGCCCACCAGGGGGCGGGGTGGCTGGCATGTGGTGCTGGGGGATCGAACCGCGATCCCTGTGCTTTGCCAAGCTTGTTCCAAGTAGGTGCTTTAGACCACTGAGCCATCTCACCAGCCCCTCGATGCACTTTCTTAACAAAAGATACCTAGTTCACACTAAAATCGGCAGTATTTAGTTTCGTTTTGCCCTTGGCTGTAGCCGACTTGTCGCGAGCTCCCGAAGATCTAACGTAGTGAATGTTAAAGGCCGTCTCACGGAGGAACGCAATTGGCGCGAGGAGTTTGGAGCCTCGGCGCTCGCCG